CACAACAATAATAAGAATGGAAGAAGATTTCTTTTGTTCTATTTTAAAAGAAACATACTCAAATGATGAAAATTTCCCAAGAGACACTCTATGGGAGACAATACGATCTTTAAAAACTGCTGCTATGCCGCCCCCCCCCCTTTTATTTTCTCGTGTTTCATGTTCAAATTTGAAATTTGGTGGTGAGGCTTCTATTAAAACTGCATCTCCTGTATTATGGTCAAGCCATGTTTCAGTCATAAACATAAAATCAAGATCATACGAACAGATAAAATTATTAATTAAAAATGATTTGTTGCATAGTGATCTGACATTAAGTAGAGCAAGGTTAAAATTAATATCAGTGTCAGTGGGTTTAGTTGATTGATTACAAAGAACTGGAATTAGATTTCCAGAGTTGGACCGTCTAACTGCTGTCCTTCTTTTAAATTTGTGTTTATTCAAGTTAAAACACATTTCTGAGCTGGTGCGAGGAACACACACAGTCTCTATTGGTTTAAAAAGTGAACTCTGTTGTACTTTGTTAAGTTCCAGATGCATAACTGAGTCAGCACAGTTCAGCGGCAGGACTGTCGTTACACTGCCAGACGGACAGGGGTCAGTGTTTGCACCACAGTACTCACCCGGTGCTGGTAAGGAGGAGGAGGGGGGTGGTGGGGGCCGAGAAGCCTCAGATGTAAACAGTCACGCCCCCCTCGGGGAGCACTGAACAACATGGCGTAGGAAGTCCGTCAACAAACTGGTGCCGTTTCTGTTCGGGTGCAGACCATCTGGACGATAGGCCACGTGACGCTTCCAGAACAGGCCAAAGTTGTTCACAAAAATAAAGTTAAAAGTGCTGCATGTAGACTGGAGCCACATGTTGAGCGCCACAACGCTATGGTAACAGGCTCTACTCAGGGAGGATGAAGTAAGGGCTTATGGGATTTCATAACACTTTGAAGCAACATTTGTTAAAGTTAAACTCATCATTCTATCAATGTGCAGAAGCCAGTACTTTTCCCTTGTTTTGTCTATCTGAAGGCCAAGCTACAAGCACACCGTGGCAGCTGCTGATTGGAGGTCTCCATGCCTCCGCTCTGTATAATACACTTGCATTCTCTTGTATCTGTGATCGTGTGCTTTGATCGTGCTGTCTCTACCATTGACAATAAAACATGTCTTCTGTCTGAATGAAAGACGCGATCCCAGACTATGTCATCTTCTTCAGGCTTTTTCACACTAAAGGGTACAGAAGTCTGAGAAGTGTGACAGAAGGCCAGAAATTAGATTTTAACATTCAGAATCATGTTTTTTAATTCATCCAAATTCCGCCTCTGTCCATCAGCAGCTGCTAAAAGAGAATTGTTTTATACGTTATTCAAGTCTAGTCTGTTCATTTGTGTAACAGACCTGATCCTTTGATGGAATGAGTTTTGCGGAAGTTTGTTGCATATTTTCAGATCCACATTTGAAGAGATTCTTTTTTTTAACACACTGTAGAAACAAAGTGATACTTTCATATCGTATACCAATTAAATGTGAAACCAGCACTTTTTTTTCTCAGTAAGTTTAATTCTTAGAAATAAATTGAGGGAAACCATTGCGTCCGTTACACATTTTTCAATGATCATTTAAATTGGTATTGATTATATTATTGAAATGATTCCTTTTTGAATGAAGTGATTTCCTGATGTTGTGTTAATGTTCATCTGTGGAGTTCATCTTTGTCACAGATGACTTTTTATTTTCAGTGTCACTGAGTCACAGAATGATCCAATCAGACGCTGATCTGGTCGTTTCAAATGTCGTCAAAAATGTATTTGTCAATCTTTCCTTTGATTTTAACCACACCATCTCTCACAGTATACTTTTTCCAATCTATGATAGTAAATTTATGATTTAAGTTATAACCTTTTAAAGTCCAGAGACTTTAATTGACACTTTACAGTGAACACATGCACCAGAACTACTCACATTTAAAAGTAAAAGATAATCTCACAAAAATAATGACATAAAATTCAAAGTTATGTCTTCATATCTTGGTGACCAATAATGTACATATAATGTTATGTATACTTACTTAACATACAAGTCGTCAAATTGACTGCTCCGGGAGTTCCAGTTTTACATTTATTTCTATGTATTTTATTATAAAATATCTGTTTTATCTTTTAGATAATATGTTAAGTTACAAAACTAAAAGCCATCAAATGGACTGCTCTGGGAGTTCTAGTTTTAATTTTTAACTGTATTTCTATGGGGGTTTTTTATTATTGTAAATTATCTTTATTTAAACGTTATCTTTAACTCCTGCGCTTCTATGGCAGAGCATGCCAGTTACCATAGCAACACACTGTTTGCTTGAAGCCGTTAGCATTTGTTAGCCTCTTAACAAACTGTCTTTACTGTATTTCAAGTTATATTCACAAGTTTTAGCACCTGGTAAGGAAACGACCATGTAAAATACTTTAATAAAACCAGTGGAAAACTAAAATTGTAACGGAGCCGTCAAAATGTCTGCTCCTGAAGTTCTAGTAGTCTGCCTTCGTCATGGCCTTCGTCACGCCCTGCACAACAGCGCCGCCGTGTGTTCCTAGCTGGAATAACAACTGTACATACATGACCAGGACAAATCTCACACATCAGAAACGTAAAACCACATCTGGACCTTTGATTTCATTTATTTTCTCTACTTCCAAAATAGCATTTTTGTGAGTTTATTTAACAAAAAATTATATCTAGACTTTGAAAATGATACATTTATAATATAGACTGGGGAGGGAGAGACAGGAGCAAACAGTGTCAAGCAGCAACACGCAGCACGGGCAAAACACAACCAAAGAAACAGGCATGCCCCATTGAAGATCAGCTATTGCACTTTCAAAGAAAAACCAAAGAAAACACCATTTGTACAAAAAGGCACATTTTAGAAACAAAAAAAATCTGGAAAAATGCCTTTGTTATTGTCTGTGTTTTTCCACATACGTTGACCTTTGTTCATAATGTCAGTTGGCACATGTTTCATAAATCAAAGTAAGTTTTAAATAACGCGTGTGGTGACGTGACGCAGTGTTGTGTCCTCTTCCACTGACCCCATCCAAAAACACCCTGAGAAGCAAACTCAAGACACACAAGAGCTCACAAAAGAAAACCGGTGAGAGACGTTTTTGTCGAATGTGTGGTGGATGGATGGTCCTGTGCACTCCCCTTATGCAGCAAAATACAGGCACGTATATTACATTGCATCTGTCTCGTCAAACACACAGAGGTCATGCAGATTTTGGTTCTGAAGTGGTCCATAGCGATGCATAAACAGAACAATGCCCTCTGGAACATGACATTCACGCATGTATCCGTCTGCTTGTAAGAAATCACATCGCTAGTCGTCAAATTCAGGATTTGTTTATCTTTATCCCACAGCACGGATCAGCATTTCACGGATATATAAGAGCATTTGGAAACGGATCGGTGACGTGAAACAGGCAGAACACCAACCATAGATTTGAGATAGATGGACCGTCTATCAGGCCAGACTCTTTGATTGTGCTATTTTATTGTGAGCGTGGAAATGATAACTATATACTATACTCTCAACAAAGGCAGACGTGTCAAAAGCAAAAAACTATGAAAAATAAAGCCGATAATTGCTCAAATTCTGCAAAAAATGTGTCATAATTTGGAAACATTCTGACTGCCTTAAAGATAGATTTGCCGATGGGACAAAAGCAAAGTTATGTTGTTTCTAAAAGATACAAGAAATTAGAAATGTCTCTCTTGGAATGAGAAAATAAATAATAATAAATAATGCATTGTACTTTCATAGCGCTTTTTTTAGACATTCAAAGACACTTACGGAAGAAGAAAAAAAAAGTTAGTTAAAATTTAAAGGTACTGTGTGTAATTTTTACCGTTGCTCCAAATGAAAAAAACATGTTAACTCAAAACAATATTTACCACCACAATGTTTTTTAATCATTTTCATAGGCTTAGAATGTGTCTTTTAAATGTGTATGAGGCTGGAGGACTCTTGAAATACAGTGGCTGATAAGGGACAAAAAGTAAATTACAATCTATGATCTGACCACTAGATGGGAGTAAAAACTACACAGAGTACCTTTAAGTGTGGGCAGTTTTGAACAGGTGGGTTTTGAAAAGTTCTGTAGTGAGTCAACAATTCTCAAAATAAGACTAAACAGCTGTGTCCTGTTGGTAAATCTAGTTTCAACACAGTCAGAATGTGCTCAAATTGAGATAAAAAAGAAAAAACACTCGATTCAAGCAATTCTCACCTCACATTTGATCATTTTCTGCGGTGTATATTCATGGCGTGACTGAAGCCCTGCACTAATCGTCGACTACACAGAGAAAATAGAAATCCAGCGAAAACTAAATTTGGAAATATAGTCACTGCTCAGAAGAAATAAAACATTTTTTTTTTACAGTGTCAGCGAACACGACCACCTCTGTCAAATAAAGGGACATCAAGATCTACGAACAATGTCCACGAGAACAGCTGATTGTACGTCATGCGACCGCAGTGACACTAGAAAGGCTCAAAAACGTGGATCCTCAAAGCCGTGGACGCACTATGGGGTGTTTACTACTGCAAAGCTCCTCCTCGGCGTCAAACCCACAACCCAGACTGAAGTATTCGGATCCAAACGGCTTGATTTGTGAGTTTTCTGAAGTATTCCTAAAAACCTGAAGCCAGCGGTTACCTGTAGAAATATGGTTGTGCTTGACAGACAAAACTAAAATGTTTGTTTTTATATTCTAAAATACGTTTGTAATCACCTCGCTGAGGCATAATTTGCATTTTAACAACAAGAACGGTTGTATTTTTCTATCTGTTAAACACCAAATCAACATGTTTTGCCCAAATACACCTATCATTTCTGTTAAAAAATATATGATTTCAGTCTCAACAAAATAATAACAGCTCTATAAATAACTCGGCGAATCTTGCGTGGGTCTTTCAGTGCTTTCAGTTTTTCAAGTTTCCCCAAAATCACAAATCATCACTGTTTTCTCTCCACCGGCTGCAGGAGGCACAGTTCACTCCCCGCGGAGACGATGGGCAGGTTGTTGTCACGGTGATGTCCTATAAGGTGACTGATGCTGTCGAACACACGGTCCTTTGTCCGCACCTTCAGAGAGACAGAGAGAGAAAGTTATTGGTGCACATGGTCCGCCTTAAGCACATGGTACGTCTGCTCCCAGTTCTACACACTGAAACAAAGCTGAAATCCACTGGAGGAATGCTCGTAAAGGCTTCAGAATTTCACTCTGAACCAGAGCAGAGAAAATGGTCTCTCTATCTACTAGTGTCTATCTATCTCTCTTTCTCTCTCTCTCTCTCTGTCTCTCTCTCTCTCTATTACCCCTCTCTTCTCTCTCACTCTTTGTGTCTATCTCTCTCTCTCTCTTTCTCTATGCATCTCTCTATTACCCCTCTCTTCCACTTTCTGTCTCCGTCTCCCTCTCTCTCTCTCACAGACTCTCTCTGTCTCTCTCTCATTGTCTCTTTCTGTCTGTGTCTCTCCCTTCCTGTCTCTCTCTCTCTGCTCCTGTCTCTCTCCCTTCCTCTCTCCCCCTCTCTCCTTTTCTCTCTTTCTCTCTCTCCCTCTCTCATTGTCTCTCTGTCTGTCTCTCCCCCCATCTCTGTCTCTCTCCCTCTCTCTCCCTTCCTCTCTGTCTCTATGTCTCTTTCTCCCCCACCTCCTCTCTCCCTTTCTTTCTCTTTCCCGGTGTCTCTCTCTCTCTCTCCACCTCTATCTTCCCCCCCCCCCTCTCTCTCCACCTCTCTCTCCTCTCTCTCTCTCTCTCTCTCTCTCCACCTCTCTCTCCTCTCTCTCTCTCCACCTCTCTCTTCCCCCTCTCTCTCTCTCTCTCTCTCCACCTCTCTCTCCTCTCTCTCCTTTCTCTCTCTCCACCTCTCTCTCTCTGCTCCTGTCTCTCCCTTCCTCTCTCCCCCTCTCTCCTTTTCTCTCTTTCTCTCTCTCCCTCTCTCATTGTCTCTCTGTCTGTCTCTCCCCCCATCTCTGTCTCTCTCCCTCTCTCTCCCTTCCTCTCTGTCTCTATGTCTCTTTCTCCCCCACCTCCTCTCTCCCTTTCTTTCTCTTTCCCGGTCTCTCTCTCTCTCCACCTCTATCTTCCCCCCCCCCCTCTCTCTCCACCTCTCTCTCCTCTCTCTCTCTCTCTCTCTCTCCACCTCTCTCTCCTCTCTCTCTCTCCACCTCTCTCTTCCCCTCTCTCTCTCTCTCTCTCTCTCTCCACCTCTCTCTCCTCTCTCTCCTTCTCTCTCTCTCCACCTCTCTCTCTTCTCCACCTCTCTCTTCCCCCCTCTCTCCACCTCTCTCTCTCTCTCTTTCCACCTCTCTCTCTCTCCACCTCTCTCTTCCCCCCTCTCTCCACCTCTCTCTCTCCACCCCTCTCTCTCTCTCTCTCCACCTCTCTCTTCCCCCTCTCTCTCTCTCTCTCTCTCTCTCCACCTCTCTCTTCCCCCCTCTCTCTCTCCCTCTCTCTCTCACCGTGCCCTCGGGGTCCACCAGCAGCAGGTGCTTGGCCAGTCCGTTGTGCATTCCCGTCAGGACGTAGGACCCGGGGCTCGTGGTGCTTTTGCGAACGAGAAAGTCTCCGTCGTGGTTCAGGAGTTTCTCTGCGTCTCTGCGGCTCATCCTGCCGTGGTACCAGGGCTTCTCCTCCAGCTCCTCCTGCGCCCGGAACCCCACCGCCCGCACCAGGAGGGGGCTAGAACTGTCCACCGAGGCCGCCTTGTAGAGACTCGAGACCTGGGACTGAGGGGGACCCTGCGACGGTGAGCGGGACCGGGAGTGGATGGCGTCTTCGAACGGCTCTGGTTTAGGAAGATCAATGCAAAAGATTTAGATTCAGATTTACTGCAAAAAGTGATGAACAATGTCAAAAATGGCTACATTTATCCTAATTTCAGCACATTCTGACTGAGCCTTAAAACCAGATTCACCAATGAGACAAAGCAAAATTATCTTGTTTAAAAATATACAATAAAGGTCTCCCTTGGAATGAGATAATACAGCTCAGTTCTTGAAATAAAATGTCTTTGTCCCATTGGAGAATCTGGTTTAAACACAGAATGTAATAATAATAATAATAATAATAATAATGCATTAGTTTTATACAGTGCTTTTCAGACCCTCAAAGGAGCTTCACTTCATTATTCTTTCACTCCATACACGGTGGTGATAAACTACTGTAGCCACAGCTGCCCTGGGGCACACTGACAGAACCAAGGCAACCAGTCTGTGCCATCGGCCCCTCCCACCACCAGCAACCATTCACACACACACCAAACTCATTCTAATCAATCAATCAATCAATCAAATTTTATTTATAAAGCGCTTTTCATACAAAAAGTGTAACACAAAGTGCTTTACAGTTTAGTTAAAAACAATCCAACATGCCCAGCCCTAAACCCTCCTCCCCACAGACCCCCCAAAATCACATTTATAATTATATATACAATACACACACACACACACACACACACACACACACACACACACACACACACACACACACACACACACACACACACACACACATATACACAAGTATAAAGTCATATCAGGTAAAATAGGTAAAACAATAAAAAGAAATGGGGCTGGGAGCAGATGTAACCGGCTGAAGAAGCGTCATCCAAGGAGCCATCTGCACCAGGAGCAGAGAGCCGGCTGCAGCCACAGGCAACGACACAGGACCCAGAGGAGAGAGGGGCCCCAGACCCCACCAGGCCCAGGACTCAGACCCCATAGGACCCAGAGGAGAGAGGAGGCCCCAGACCCCCACCGGATCCAAGAGCCAGACCCCCGAAGCCACAGCAGACCCCAGCTCTCAGTGCAGAGGGCTCCTCCAGAGGAAACACTGGGGACACTAAAACAATACAATAATACAATAGAAAGTAGAACAATAGAATGTGAAAATAAAAAGAAAAATGGCAGCTGCCTAATATAATAACAATAGTAAATGGGTAGATACAATAAATAATTAAAAATAGTAAATAATAAAAATAAATAAAAATATAATCCATCTAAAAACATAAATAGATGTACTAAAAAGCAATAATAGATAATAAATACTAATCAAAAGCTGCTCTAAAAAGGTGCGTCTTGAGCCTACTCTTAAAAATATGAACGTTCTCTGCGGCCCTGAGCTCCTCCGGCAGACTGTTCCAGAGACGGGGGCCGTAGTGCTGGAAAGATGCCTCGCCGTGAGTGTGTGTCCTGACTTTGGGGATGGTTAGGAGTCTGCTGCCGGAGGAGCGCAGGGGCCGGGAAGGTTCATAGGATAAAAGCAGTGCTGAAAGATAAGAAGGCCCAAGACCATTAAGACATTTAAAGACCATTAAAAGAACCTTAAAATCGATCCTGAAACACACGGGGAGCCAATGCAGCGATTTTAAAACCGGTGTAATGTGGTCCCGCCCCCTGGTCTTAGTCAGGACACGTGCGGCCGAGTTTTGAAGTAATTGTAAACCTGAAATGTTCTTTTTGGGAAGACCAGAGAGCAGGGCATTACAGTAGTCAATGCGACTGGTGATAAAAGCATGCATCAGCGTCTCCGTGTTGGCCCGAGAGAGAATGGGGCGGACTCTGGCGATGTTCTTTAAATGATAAAAACCTATTTTTGTGATGTTCTTGATGTGAGGAATAAAAGTCAGCTCAGAGTCAAAGATTACGCCCAGGTTTTTCACTTGTGATGATGGATTAAAAGAGTGTGATTGGAGTTTCGGTAAAAGTTTCTCTCTCTGGGCCTCAGGACCGATGACTAAAACCTCAGTTTTGTCCTGGTTGAGCTGGAGAAAGTTTTCTGCCATCCAGGATTTCAGGTCTAAAATGCAGAGAGCATCCATTGGCCTGGTGTCATCAGGAGACATGGAGATGTACAGCTGTGTATCATCTGCATAACTGTGGAAGTCAATTCCATGTCTCCTGATGACACCGCCAAGAGGGAGCATGTACAGGTTAAAAAGGACTGGACCTAAAATGGAACCCTGGGGCACACCACATGTGATTTTATGGACCTGAGAGGAGCAGGTATCCAAACTTACCATGAAGGATCTGTCTGTTAAATAAGAAGTGAACCATTTGTGGACAGCACCAGAGAGGCCGAGGTGTTTCAGGCGGGATAAAAGAATGGTGTGGTCTACTGTATCAAAGGCAGCGCTTAGATCCAGTAGAACCAACACGGTCACCTTTTTAGAATCATAATTTAGTCTAAAATCATTTAAAATCTTTAAAAGAGCAGTCTCTGTGCTGTGGTTCACCCTAAATCCTGATTGAAATTTCTCTAAAATTTGCTGCTGATCTAAAAAGGCATTGAGCTGGGTAAAAACAAGTTTTTCTAAAATTTTGCTTAAAAATGGTAAGTTGGATACCGGTCTGTAGTTGTTAAAATCATTAAAATCCAAATTGCTCTTCTTCAGAAGGGGCCTCACCACAGCCGCTTTGAAGGCTGCAGGAAAGACCCCAGTCTGAAGAGAGCAATTCATCAGGTTTAAAAGCTCCTCTCTAAAAGATTCATAAAATGACTTAAAAAATGGAGTGGGGACTGGATCTTAAAGACATGTGGTGGGCCTCACTGAGGAGAAAACTTTATCAAGCATCTCAGCATCAACCAGGACAAAACTGTCCAGTGTTTCCTCTGGTGAAGACAAACAATCAGATGTGTTAAAAACAGTTGTGCGGTTGGATAAAATGTTACATCTGATTGTATTTATCTTCCCCATGAAGTGGACTGCAAAATCCTCACAGAGGGAGTCTGTGGGGGTTAAAAGAGACATGCTAAAATCAGGGTTTAAAATGGTGTCGATGGTTGAAAAGAGGATTTTTGGATTATTTTTGTTCTGGCTGATTAGTTTTGCAAAGTAATTGTTCCTGTTTTTCCTGATTGTGTTGTTGTAAATTTGCTGTCGGTTTTTATATATTTCGTGATTGATTGTCGTTTTATTTTTTCTCCATCTTCGCTCTGCCACCCTGCACTGTCTTTTCATACTCCTTGCTTCCTCATTTTTCCAAGGGGCTATAGATTTTTGTTGAATGCTTACAATTTTTAATGGAGCAACCTGATCCAGTGTAGTTCTTAGTCTACTGTTAAAATCATCTGCTATAAAATCACAGGGGGCAGGTAAAACCAACTGAGGAGTGTTATTTAGAATGTCCATAAAATTTGCAGCCACTTCAGGGGTTAGACGTCGTTTCTTCACAGTTCTCACTAATGTGGGTGAAGTGTCTTGCCTATGGACACAACCACAGTTTGGCACTTTACAGCCGCAGCCGCCCCACTGTGGCACCTGGTGTTCCCAGAGGTCTCCCATCACAGTACTAACCCAGCCCTGCCCTGCTTGGCTTCAAAGGTCGGACAGGATCTGGCTTTCACCTGGAGATATGTACTTAAACTACATTGAAGTACATGTTCAAAAGTCCCCCAGTGTGCACCAGACAGTACACGGCAAGTCAGAGTCCCAGCAGGAGGCCGGTCCCTGTGCTCCTCAGAGTCCCAGCAGGAGGCCGGTCCCTGTGCTCCTCAGAGTCCCAGCAGGAGGCCGGTCCCTGTGCTCCTCAGAGTCCCAGCAGGAGGCCGGTCCCTGTGCTCCTCAGAGTCCCAGCAGGAGGCCGGTCCCTGTGCTCCTCAGAGTCCCAGCAGGAGGCCGGTCCCTGTGCTCCTCAGAGTCCCAGCAGGAGGCCGGTCCCTGTGCTCCTCAGAGTCCCAGCTGGAGGCCGGTCCCTGTGCTCCTCAGAGTCCCAGCAGGAGGCCAGTCCCTGTGCTCCTCAGAGTCCCAGCAGGAGGCCAGTCCCTGTGCTCCTCAGAGTCCCAGCAGGAGGCCGGTCCCTGTGCTCCTCAGAGTCCCAGCAGGAGGACAGTCCCTGTGCTCCTCAGAGTAGGTTCATATGGCACTAACATGTCACAGATGAACATAACTCTGCTTTCCTCTCCACATCTCAGTACTTTTAAATCTGGGCCCTATTTTAGTCTCCACTGTTTAAACATAATCAGCTCCCTGGGACAATGGCAGATGGACAAAAGCAGACGATCACCTTTGTGTGGAGACGTGAAAGGGAAAGCCCAGAGCCAGGGAAAAAGTGAAACATGAACTTTATAATTAGAGCCTCCTCCAGCTGCCACGAGGCAAGAAGTGCAGAAGGACTAATGTGCTAAAGTAAAATCATTAAAATAGTGTCGTCAGTGAAACTTAATAAAGACACCCCCAAAGTAAGGATCAGTCTCAGAAAACAAACGCTGTCGCACTCACAGTGAACAACTCACTCATGTCGAACAGGTCTTTGGGGGGTCTCTCTCTCTCTGGTCTCTCTCTCTCTGGTCTCTCTCTCTCTCTCTCTGGTCTCTCTCTCTCTCTCTGGTCTCTCTCTCTCTTCTCTTACATACAGTAGAATCAGACTCACTCATGTCGAACAGGTCTTTGGGGGGTCTCTCTCTCTCTCTCTGGTCTCTCTCTCTCTCTCTCTGGTCTCTCTCTCTCTCTCTCTCTCTGGTCTCTCTCTCTCTCTCTGGTCTCTCTCTCTCTTCTCTTACATACAGTAGAATCAGACTCACTCATGTCGAACAGGTCTTTGGGGGGTCTCTCTCTCTCTGCGGTGGGTCTCTCTCCCTTGGTGGTGGTGCTCTCGGCCTCGGCGTGCAGCGCTGCCAGGACGTGGGCGTCGATCTGCTGCGTGTTCACGTACGTCGGCATCTCTCCCGTGTTCATGGACTGAGCTTTACTGTCGGGAAAACTGCTGATGTCGAAGGATCCTGTGGAGTCAGAGGTGGGCCACACAGAGGAGCGTCATCTTCAAGGCGTATTCAGACCTGCACATTTGCTCCACTTTAAATGGACCAGAATTCGTTTGGAACTCTGATCCGGACCTTTTATGCAGGAGTTAATACACACAAACGAATCCTGGTCTGGACCAAAGTACCGGACCGAGACCCACTTTATTAGGTGGTCTCGGTCCGCTTCCAAACGAACTCTGGTCCGAGTCGATTCAGGTCTGAATACAACCGGTGTTGATCCTACACAACTCCAGGATACGTGCGCATTTTTAGGCCTTAACAATTCACCGTAGACAGGAACTGTGAGGAATTAGCCGCGCGTCACAGATGCTAACTATGCTGCTAACGCTACGCAACAACAATGAGCCGTGGGTAGACCTGGAGCAACCAGGAGACACTGTGCCTCCTTGAAATTTGGGCAGAGGCACATATAACCCAGCTTCTGGAAAAGACACAAACATGCGGTCGTTTTTCTCTAAAAAGAGCAGTCATGGACAGAGCAGACGTACAAGCTCCATATTCTCCTCCATTTCCGCATCTATCCTCCGTGAGCTCTTGCTGTCCAATAGGAGCGCCGATCGTCCATATGTTTATAAAAGAGTTCACTTGCAAAAAGGACAGTCTGAATACGAACCGGACCAAAAGAAAAATGTTTGGTCCACTTTTGGTTCAGACCAAGCAAGCGGACCAAAGGACTTTTGTTGTCTGAATACACCCTAAGATTATTATAAAGTTTCATCTTTACCACAAAGATGGTAAATAATCTTTACCACATAATCTTTATCTATGTAGCGCCTTTCACAGACCAGAGGTCAGGGTTCTCTCTCTCTCTCTCTCTATTGTGTTGCTCTCTCTCTCTCTCTCTCTCCCTCTCTCTCGCTCTATTGTGTTGCTCTCTCTCTCTCTCCCTCTCTCTCTCGCTCTATTGTATTGCTCTCTCTCTCTCTCTCCCTCTCTCTCTCGCTCTATTGTGTTGCTCTCTCTCTCTCTCTCTCTCTCTCCCTCTCTCTCGCTCTATTGTGTTGCTCTCTCTCTCTCTCTCTCTCTCCCTCTCTCTCTCGCTCTATTGTGTTGCTCTCTCTCTCTCTCTTTATTATGTTGCACTCTCCCTCTCTATTGTCAGTGGCGTTCCAAGGGGATCCCGGGGCCCCAGGCAACAGTCCTTGGGGAGTCCTTGGGGGCCTCGATACCGACTACATTACCAGATAAACTTTTTTTTTCATAGCTGAATAAATTATCCCCAGAGAGCAAGGTTTTTTGTGGTCCTCCAAAACAATACAAACTAAAGGTGTTGTAGTGTTGGACTTGAACACGTGCCTCGAGTCTGTGGGGTCTGATGTCTGTTTCCACTTCTGAAATATTGCTCTGTTTCCTTGATGTGTCTCTTGACTCCTGTGCCGTGTGAGTTGAATCATGTGGACCAGCCCCTGAAGGCCTCCTCCAGTCCAGAGCCGGCGGATGCAGAGCACGGCTGAACGAACCAGTCTTCATCCGGGCACAGTCTACTCATTTGTTTATTTTCTTTTATTGGATTTTTATATATGTGTGTAATTATTCATTTGTTTGTTGCAATTTTTTTTTATGTACAGCACTTTGGAAACTGCTCGTTTATGAAATGTGCTATAAATAAAGTGGATTGGACGAGCACGTACCACCAGAGTGATTGACAACTGGGAGGACCAATAGTCTTGATAATAATAATAATAATAATAACAATAATAATTTTAATAATAATAATAAATAAATAAATAAAAAAATAATGAAAAAAATAAATAAAATAAAATAAAAAAAATAATAAAAATAATAAAAATAATAATAATAATAAACAGCTCTACCTTGCTGTATGACGATGGGCCTTTTTTCTTCTCCCCAGTTTTCCGCAGAATGTCGTCCTTGATAGTACGTCTGATCCACTAAGCCCAGACCCTGACGGAGACCATCAAGGATTACTTTCATAGTCACTGGATGATGGAGTCACTGGATCGCTCTATGGTGTGCTGTACCTGTGGGCTGTCGTTTGCTGAGCTCTGATTGGTCAGCCGGGCGTCGATGAAGCCTCCAGGGGGCGGCATCTTCCCGGGGATGCTGTTGTAGTAGGGATGGTCTGCAGACTCCTCCTCTTCCTCAGTCCACGGCAGCTCCTCCATGTTTAGTGTCCTGGACACGCATTGGTTACTGACGGAGATGACACACAACTACAGGAATACACATACCCACACTGACTACAGGAATACACACACACACACACACACTAACTCAGGGATTAAAGAGTTCCGTCTAGGTGACGGATTTCCGTCAAATGAAATTGGTCTGGAAAAAAAAAATATATATATATATATATAATCATAATAATACACACAATGAAATGATTGATTATAAAAATAATATATAGTAATACATATACGTGTGAATCTGTTATATATATATATATATATATATATATATATATATATATCGAGGTATAATAATAATTTGAATATAATTGTATTTATATGTATATAGAAATAATAAGTAATATAATGACGAGTGGGCCTTGAACGTGCCGTGGCCACATGAGCGCTCCGCAAATGAATCAAGGCAATGGGACGTAGCTGAGCTCACGCGCAAATGAAGACGCGATGAAGTTAGCATTGGTAACACGGAGGTGCAAGTTTCTGGAAACTGCACGGAGCTTTTGAAAAGGAGAAGAGGAGGAAAATTGAATCTCGAACGGAGCAATAACAGCAGCAGATCCGCGGACTGGTAAGCTGGGCGCGTAATAGACTAAAGGTAATTAACGTTTACCAAACGCAATGCTATTTACTTAACGGAATGTACAAAACGGACTTTGCTGCGACTGGGAATGGGGACAAACATGTCTTGGTGAGCTTTTGATATTGTCTTGTTTGCGATCTTCTTGCAAAACTCAGCGTGATGTAAAAGAGCCAATCAACGAGTCATGGTGCGAAAAGATGAAAGTGGCCGGTGCTTGTGCGTACTTTGCCATAAAAAATTGCATGTATGGGAGTAATGAGAAAAAAGTTTTGATTCGCCACCAGCTCAAAACTGCGCACAAGGCAGCTGTTTGTGCACTTTCCCACACTTCATCTTTACCTGGTGCATCAGCAACAACTGACACTAGGCTTGCTCTGGCGGACCGTGTCTGTGGCTTTATCGCAGAAAATAACGTTCAGAATATCACTACCGCTGGTAGATTTATTTAAATCATTTGCAGTTGATCGAAGTGCACTGTGCACTCAAACTTGATAGGGAAACCTTTTTCTTAAATATTGACGTGTCCACAAACAAATGTGGACAGAATTTTATCGTCCTTTTGCGATATTTTGACGAGGACAGGGCCAAAGTGTTGACGCTCCATATCGCCTCAAGTAAAGCGACTCTCACTAATATTCTGTCAAAAAGTTGACTCGTTGCTTGATCCACTTATATTTCATATCAAAATACACTGTATATCTTTGAAGAATTCATTTGAGCTGTATTCAATATACAATCTATTATACAATAATATATTGTAATTAAAAATATAACTTGGTCCTGCATATTACTGTGATTTACATGTGATAAATTTCCATGCAAAAATGTTCAGTCAAATCTTTTTTTTTTGCTTTAACCCCTGCACTAACTACAGGAATACACATACACACACACACACTAACTACAGGAATACACACACACACACACACTAACTACAGGAATACACACACACACACACACTGACTACAGGAATACACATACACACACACACACTAACTACAGGAATACACACACACACACACACTGACTACAGGAATACACACACACACACACACACACTAACTACAGGAATACACATACACACACACACACTAACTACAGGAATACACACACACACACACACTAACTACAGGAATACACACACACACACACACTAACTACAGGAATACACATACACACACACACACTAACTACAGGAATACACACACACACTGACTACAGGAATACACACACACACACACACACACTAACTACAGGAATACACATACACACACACACACTAACTACAGGAATACACACACACACACTAACTACAGGAATACACATACACACACACACACACTAACTACAGGAATACACACACACACACACTAACTACAGGAATACACACACACACACACACTGACTACAGGAATACACACACACACACACACTGACTACAGGAATACACACACACACACACACACACACTAACTACAGGAATACACACACACACACTGACTACAGGAATACACACACACACACACACTGACTACAGGAATACACACACACACACACACTGACTACAGGAATACACACACACACACACACACTAACTACAGGAATACACACACACACACACACACACACTACAGGAATACACATACACACGCACACACACTAACTACAGGAATACACATACACACACACACACACTAACTACAGGAATACACACACACACACGCACTAACTACAGGAATACACACACACACACACACACACTAACTACAGGAATACACACACACACACGCACTAACTACAGGAATACACACACACACACACACACACACACACACAAACACTCTCTACAGACACACACACACACACTACAGACATACACACACAAACACTCTCTACAGACACACACACACACACACACACACACACACACTACAGACATACACACTCACTTTCTCTCACACCTCATACACACACACACACACACTAACTGGAGGCATACACACACATATACTTACTGCAGATACACACACGCACACTACAGGCACACACACACACATCCAGTGTGTTACCTGTCTGTGGTGGAGGACATCTTGTTTGGAGGACACTGCAGATAGAGCTGGAACCTCAGGTCGAAGGCTTGACCGATGGAACTGATGACGTCCTGAGCCAGAGCATCCGCACACTCCAGGATGTGACACGCTGCAACACAACAACAAGTAAGTAAGTAAGTAAGTAAGTAACTATTACTTACTTACTAACTTACTTACTTACTTAACAACACACACACACTGGGACCAGGGAGAACCAGGAAGAACCAGGAAGAACCAAGAAGAACCAAGAAGAACCAGGGAGAACCAGGAAAACCAAGAAGAACAAGGAAGAACCAGGAAGAACAAGGAAGAACCAAGAAGAACCAGGAAGAACCAAGAAGAACCAGGAAGAACCAAGAAGAACCAAGAAGAACCAGGAAGAACCAGGAAGAACCAAGAAGAACCAGGAAGAACCAGGGAGAACCAGGAATAACAAGGAAGAACCAGGAATAACAAGGAAGAACCAAGAAGAACCAAGAAGAACCAAGAAGAACCAGGAAGAACCAAGAAGAACCAAGAAGAACCAGGAAGAACCAAGAAGAACCAAGAAGAACCAAGAAGAACCAGGAAGAACCAAGAAGAACCAAGAAGAACCAAGAAGAACCAGGTAGAACCAGGGAGAACCAGGGAGAACCAGGAAGAACCAAGAAGAACCAAGAAGAACCAGGAAGAACCAGGAAGAACCAAGAAGAACCAGGAAGAACCAGGGAGAACCAGGGAGAACCAGGGAGAACCAGGAAGACCAGGAAAAACCAGGAAGAACCAGGAAGAACCAGGAATAACAAGGAAGAACCAGGAATAACAAGGAAGAACAAAGAAGAACAAGGAAGAACCAGGAATAACAAGGAAGAACCAGTAAGAACCAGTAAGAACCTACCTCTGCGATTCACTGGATCCTTCGCCACGTAAGCCACAAAATCTGTGGTTTCCTGCAAATGTAGAAAGATTGTTTTAAGTACTTTAGATACTCTAGTATTGTCTTAATACTTTTTACTCTAGTATTGTCTTAATACTTTTTACTCTAGTATTGTCTAAATACTTTTTTACTTTTTACTCTAGTATTGTCTTAATACTTTTTACTCTAGTATTGTCTTAATACTTTTTACTCTAGTATTGTCTAAATACTTTTTTACTTTTTACTCTAGTATTGTCTTAATACTTTTTACTCTAGTATTGTCTTAATACTTTTTACTCTAGTATTGTCTAAATACTTTTTTACTTTTTACTCTAGTATTGTCTTAATACTTTTTACTCTAGTATTGTCTTAATACTTTTTACTCTAGTATTGTCTAAATACTTTTTTACTTTTTACTCTAGTATTGTCTTAATACTTTTTACTCTAGTATTGTCTTAATACTTTTTACTCTAGTATTGTCTTAATACTTTTTACTCTAGTATTGTCTAAATACTTTTTACTCTAGTATTGTCTTAATACTTTTTACTCTAGTATTGTCTAAATACTTTTTACTCTAGTATTGTCTTAATACTTTTTACTCTAGTATTGTCTTAATACTTTTTACTCTAGTATTGTCTAAATACTTTTTACTCTAGTATTGTCTTAATACTTTTTACTCTAGTATTGTCTTAATACTTTTTACTCTAGCATTGTCTAAATACTTTTTACTCTAGTATTGTCTTAATACTTTTTACTCTAGCATTGTCTAAATACTTTTTTACTTTTTACTCTAGCATTGTCTAAATACTTTTTTACTTTTTACTCTAGCATTGTCTAAATACTTTTTCACTTTTCACTCCAGTATTGCCTGAGTACTTATTTTTACTCGAGTACCCTTGACAAACTCACCGGGTCTCCACCAGAAGCAAAACTGATGGACTGCATGTGGTGATTGGCGATGATCTGCAGTGAATTAGAAAAAGTCACAAAACCATCAATGCTGCAAGTTCATGATAATAAAAACAATATTGATTTTTAAGGGCCACTAAAAATGGTCTCGGGGGCCGGAGTGATGGGTGGTCTATGGCACGTGTTTTTAGTGGTAGGGAAAAATCGCAGCACCTGGAGGGAACCTACACAGACACAGGAAGAACATGCAAACTCCACACAGAACCAGGAAAACCAAGAAGAACAAGGAAGAACCAGGAAGAACCAGGAAGAACCAAGAAGAACCAGGAAGAACCAAGAAGAACCAAAAAGAACCAGGAAGAACCAAGAAGAACCAAGAAGAACCAGGAAGAACCAAGAAGAACCAGGGAGAACCAGGAAGACCAGGAAAAACCAGGAAGAACTAGGAAGAACCAGAAAGACCAGGAAAAACCAGGAAGAACCAGGAAGAACCAGGAATAACAAGGAAGAACCAGGAATAACAAGGAAGAACCAGGAAGAACAAAGAAGAACAAGGAAGAACCAGGAAGAACCAGTAATTAGAGTGAATTAGAAAAAGTCACAAAACCATCAATGCTGCAAGTTCATGATAATAAAAATCGCAGCACCTGGAGGGAACCTACACAGACACAGGAAGAACATGCAAACTCCACACAGAACCAGGAAAACCAAGAAGAACAAGGAAGAACCAGGAAGAACCAAGAAGAACCAGGAAGAACCAAGAAGAACCAAAAAGAACCAGGAAGAACCAGGAAGAACCAAGAAGAACCAAGAAGAACCAGGAAGAACCAAGAAGAACCAGGGAGAACCAGGAAGACCAGGAAAAACCAGGAAGAACCAGGAAGAACCAGGAATAACAAGGAAGAACCAGGAAGAACAAAGAAGAACAAGGAAGAACCAGGAAGAACCAGTAATTAGAGTGAATTAGAAAAAGTCACAAAACCATCAATGCTGCAAGTTCATGATAATAAAAACAATATTGATTTTTAAGGGCCACTAAAAATGGTCTCGGGGGCCGGAGTGATGGGTGGTCTATGGCACGTGTTTTTAGTGGTAGGGAAAAATCGCAGCACCTGGAGGGAACCTACACAGACACAGGAAGAACATGCAAACTCCACACAGAACCAGGAAAACCAAGAAGAACAAGGAAGAACCAGGAAGAACCAGGAAGAACCAAGAAGAACCAGGAAGAACCAAGAAGAACCAAAAAGAACCAGGAAGAACCAAGAAGAACCAGGAAGAACCAGGGAGAATCAGGAAGACCAGGAAAAACCACACAGAACCAGGAAGAACCAGGAAGAACAAGGAAGAACCAAGAAGAACCAGGAAGAACCAGGAAGAACCAAGAAGAACCAAGAAGAACCAGGAAGAACCAAGAAGAACCAAGAAGAACCAGGAAGAACCAAGAAGAACCAGGAAGAACCAAGAAGAACCAAGAAGAACCAAGAAGAACCAGGAAGAACCAAGAAGAACCAAGAAGAACCAAGAAGAACCAGGGAGAACCAGGGAGAATCAGGAAGACCAGGAAAAACCAGGAAGAACCAGGAATAACAAGGAAGAACCAGGAATAACAAGGAAAAACCAGGAAGAATCAGTAATTAGAGTGAATTAGAAAAAGTCACAAAACCATTAATGCTGCAAGTTCATGATAATAAAAACAATATTGATTTTAGGGGCCACTAAAAATGGTCTCGGGGGCCGGAGTGCAGCACCTGGAGGGAACCTACACAGACACAGGAAGAACATGCAAACTCCACACAGAAAGCCCTGGAGGTTAAGTCAAACCCAGGACCTTGAGATGACAAACTGGGGGAAAGTAAACGTGGCATAAAGACGTTCTCAGGCTGTAAATATCTGAACGCTTCAAAGTCGCTCGATATTCTCTTTAGAAAGTAACATCTGAGACAGTTCTCTCGCAGACACGGACCTGTTTGCAGTCGGGGGTCATCAGGTTCAGGCTGCTGGTGGAAATGTTCAGGTTGATGGACATTCCAGCAAACTGTAGGTTGCTTTTCCCCAAGATGCTGGACAGCGCTTTGGACGGCGGCTTCAAACACGGAAAGAAAGAATAGATTTCAAACATGAACAAAGAACATGTTTCAGATTGTTGCTGTTTGGTTCCACATTGAATTGTGTTTTAACAACGCTCAATAAAAAAAAAAAAAACTATACAAAATATTAAAAAAATTATGAACATTTTTGTCTTTAAAGCTTTGTCACTTTTTTGTTTCTATGTAGTTGATTTTTATATCATTATTTATATACAGTACAATTCAAATGTTTTCATTTTCAGTTGTTCAATAACCAACTTAATATGGCAGTTAAAGGTCCTTTTCTCCTGGACTGGTCCCAGACTGGTTCTGGACTGGTTCTGGACTGATTCGGGACTGATTCTGGACTGGTGCAAGGCTAGTTACCATAGCAACACACTGTTTACTTGTCAGCGGTTAGCATTTAGCCTAATGCTAACTGGTGTATTTCATGTTATCTTAAAGATGCAGTAAGCGATTTTGTTAGCTTAGCCGTAGCACCAACTTGAAACCACTCCCCCCTCCCCTCGCCTCTCCACCGAACCAAAACAACCGGCACACGTGACATCATCTATCATCAGTTGAACATGTCACATTCTCCTGATGGGCAGAGTAGAGTATCGCGGCTGTGTACACAGCTGCAGAGTCGTGGCTGCTGCTGTCTCTGTGAGGTCTATGGAGAAGTGTAGAGGACAGTGTAATGTGTTCACTGACACAACACGATCAGTACGTTTACTCTGCACTCTGTCCTACTACAGCACAGACGTGTTGCTGCAGCCGTTACTATTTGTCGGCTCGCGCGTATGTTAGTATTTGGGGCGTTCACAGGCAGTCCGTACAAAAAGTATTGACATGACAGAAAGTGCGGTAGAGCAGTAAAATCCACATGTACGTGTTTGTCCTCATGGTCTCTGTGGCTGTTGTGGTTCAGACGTGAGACTTTATGAACTGCGTGAAGGAGAGAGCTGCGCACGGCCGTTATGTGTGATGTCAGTGAAAATGACCTTGTGAATGCACTGCCAGATCTCAGATGTCCTCCGCGATTGTCACACAATTCAGTCATGTTTAGAAAATCCAACTCAGGTGCGCGCACTCGCGAGAAACAGGAAGAGGGTGAAGGGGATGAACGAATCCCATTGGTTTACTTTTAACGGTCCGCTCCAAAGCCAAACATTTTTGGAGACAATAGGCATCTGGTCAATCTCCCTTACTATTTGAAAATACATGATTACTTGACTACTTTTAGGGTTTAGGGACGTTTTCCCACAATATTTAAAAAAATGCATCTGGAAAAAAATCACTGACTGCATCTTTAACCAGTTTTGGCGCTTATTAAAGATAACAACCTTATATATTAATACCTCAAAATAAATCTGTTGGAAAACTAAATATTTTTGGAGGGGAACAGTCAAAATGACGACTCTGGGAGTTTATGTATTTTCAGATTTTTGGGAGTCCGAGTGTCCAACAAGATTTGCCAACGGGACAAAGCAGAATTATCATCGAGGTCTACAGCCTCAGTCCTGGGTCTACAGCCTCAGTCCTGGATCTACAGCCTCAGTCCTGGATCTACAGCCTCAGTCCTGGGTCTACAGCCTCAGTCCTGGATCTACAGCCTCAGTCCTGGGTCTACAGCCTCAGTCCTGGATCTACAGCCTCAGTCCTGGGTCTACAGCCTCAGTCCTGGGTCTACAGCCTCAGTCCTGGATCTACAGCCTCAGTCCTGGGTCTACAGCCTCAGTCCTGGATCTGCAGCCTCAGTCCTGGATCTACAGCCTCAGTCCTGGGTCTACAGCCTCAGTCCTGGGTCTACAGCCTCAGTCCTGGGTCTACAGCCTCAGTCCTGGATCTACAGCCTCAGTCCTGGGTCTACAGCCTCAGTCCTGGGTCTACAGCCTCAGACTTGCGGCAAATCATGTCTTAACAAAGTCAGAACGCACTCAAATGAAAATAAAAACCACTCAATCTCACACTTGACCATGTTCTGCCGTGACTCTGTACTCTTCCATGATCTGAACAAACTTTTTTTCCCTGACTCTGTGCTTCCCTCCTCCACAAGTATGTGCTTCTCTTCTCCACATGTATGTGCTTCTCCACATGTATGTGCTTCCCTTCTCCACATGTATGTGCTTCTCCACATGTATGTGCTTCTCTTCTCCACATGTATGTTCTTCTCCACATGTATGTGCTTCCCTTCTCCACATGTATGTGCTTCTCCACATGTATGTGCTTCTCCACATGTATGTGCTTCTCCACATGTATTTGCTTCTCCACATGTATGTGCTTCCCTTCTCCACATGTATGTGCTTCTCCACATGTATGTGCTTCTCTTCTCCACATGTATGTTCTTCTCCACATGTATGTGCTTCCCTTCTCCACATGTATGTGCTTCTCCACATGTATGTGCTTCCCTCCTCCACATGTATGTGCTTCCCTTCTCCACATGTATGTGCTTCTCTTCTCCACAAGTATGTGCGTCCCTCCTCCACATGTATGTGCTTCTCTTCTCCACATGTATGTGCTTCTCCACAAGTATGTGCGTCCCTCCTCCACATGTATGTACTTCTCTTCTCCACATGTATGTTTTTCCCTCCTCCATATGTATGTGCTTCTCCACATGTATGTTTTTCCCTTCTCCACATGTATGTGCTTCTCCACATGTATGAGCTTCCCTATTCCACATGTATGTGCTTCTCCACATGTATGTGCTTCCCTACTCCACATGTATGTGCTTCTCCACATGTATGCGCTTCTCCACATGTATGAGCTTCCCTACTCCACATGTATGTGCTTCTCCACATGTATGTGCTTCTCCACATGTATGTGCTTCTCCACATGTATGTGCACCGCCACCAGCTCATCCTCCTGATCACAGATAGTGTGCGCCACATGAGTCACTCAGCAGCGGAGCAAACGCTGGAGCTACGCCCACGCACCACCACACGTCCTCACTCTCTCTTCAAGCACCACCACTTCCAGTCTCTCTCTCTCTCTCTCTCTCTCCCCCTGTCTCTCTCTCTCTCTCCCTCCATCTCTCTCTCTCTCTGTCTCCCCCTGTCTCTCTCTCTCTCTCTCTCTCTCCCCCTGTCTCTCTCTGTCTCCCTCTCTCTCCCTCCCCCTGTCTCTCTCTCCCTCTCTCTCCCCCCTTCTCTCTCTTTCCCTCTCTCTCCCCCCTCTCTCTCTCTCTCTTTCTCCCCCCTTATCCCTCTCTCTCTCCCCCCTTCTCTCTGTCTTTGTTTTCTCTCCTTTTACACAAAGGGAGGGGAAAGAACTTACACAAGGCTCTATATATAGCAGCAGAAGGTAAATGAATATCTAATGCGTTTTCTTTTCCTTTCAGCCGATTGTGTTCGCGATCATTAATCGGGCTCTGAGCTGAGCGTGGCTATTGTGTCCACGTTTTCACATCTCTCCGTCTTGATCTGAGTCATTCCCAGTACCTTTCTTTTGCGCAGGGCTCCTTTGGTCCCGGGAACGGCCTCACACACCAAGCTGATGGCCTCCCTACAGCAAAGAGGAGAGAGGGGCGTGAAAACTCAACTTTATTGACGGAACAAGACGACAAAATGCAGTTTAGCATCGAAGGAGTCGTGCATTAGCGCAACAGTAGGTCATATTTACACATTTATATGAGACACTGTACAAAACTCTTACTGTTATTATGACATTTATGGACTTTGGTCTCTGCCCCTAATGGACCCATTTCAGATTCATTGATTTGCCAATTGCAGTAAAACCACATTGGAATACATCCGCAAAAGTCCCCAGTATGCACCAGACAAGTACAAAACTAAAAGTAGGTTAAAAGTACAGAAAAAAAACAATTGACACTGAAATCGATCTAAAACAGTTTCAGTACAAAGGCAAGATCATTTAAAGTGCTTTGTTTAAACTGAGAAGTGAAATGAAGCTGTTAGCAGGTTAGCATAACGTGATGTCTTGTATCTCTATGACTGAGTGTTTTATTTGGACATTTGAGATGAATTAATTATACATTAATTAAGCGAAATAAATAAACAATTGATGTCCAAAATAGTAGTGGGAAGAAGTTAAAAAAAAACGTCTTTTTTGTAATCCCACCCCTACTTCCAACTCTGATTTTACAAAATAAATCATATCTTCCTTTACCATGAGAAACCTAGCGCTTGGAAGTTTTTAACATGCTTCACTTATTAATCAAAAATAATGACACTCTGTTATTAAACTTGAATATTGTTTGACATATTTAAGTTCCTCGTCCAATTTATTCCATTTTTTTTACTCCACTGATAGTAACACAAAAGCTATCGCAGCGAACGATATCTTCTGCCAGAAAGAAGAAGCTGGAACATGGCTTTGAAGATGACTATCTATAAACAGTACATGGCCACTTTTGGACCCTCCCCCACTGGTGTCCACGTTACTCCTGTGTCCGCGTTACTCCTGTGTCCGCGTTACTCCTGTGTCCGCGTTACTCCTGTGTCCGCGTTACTCCTGTGTCCGCGTTACTCCTGTGTCCGCGTTACTCCTGTGTCCGCGTCACTCCTGTGTCCGCGTCACTCCTGTGTCCGCGTCACTCCTGTGTCCGCGTCACTCCTGTGTCCGCGTCACTCCTGTGTCCTGTGTCGCGTCACTCCTGTGTCCGCGTCACTCCTGTGTCCGCGTCACTCCTGTGTCCGCGTCACTCCTGTGTCCGCGTCACTCCTGTGTCCGCGTCACTCCTGTGTCCGCGTCACTCCTGTGTCCGCGTCACTCCTGTGTCCGCGTCACTCCTGTGTCCGCGTCACTCCTGTGTCCGCGTTACTCCTGTGTCCGCGTTACTCCTGTGTCCGCGTCACTCCTGTGTCCGCGTCACTCCTGTGTCCGCGTCACTCCTGTGTCCGCGTCACTCCTGTGTCCGCGTCACTCCTGTGTCCGCGTCACTCCTGTGTCCGCGTCACTCCTGTGTCCGCGTCACTCCTGTGTCCGCGTCACTCCTGTGTCCGCGTCACTCCCTGTGTCCGCGTCACTCCTGTGTCCGCGTCACTCCTGTGTCCGCGTCACTCCTGTGTCCGCGTCACTCCTGTGTCCGCGTCACTCCTGTGTCCGCGTCACTCCTGTGTCCGCGTCACTCCTGTGTCCGCGTCACTCCTGTGTCCGCGTCACTCCTGTGTCCGCGTTACTCCTGTGTCCGCGTTACTCCTGTGTCCGCGTTACTCCTGTGTCCGCGTTACTCCTGTGTCCGCGTTACTCCTGTGTCTGCGTTACTCCTGTGTCCGCGTTACTCCTGTGTCCGCGTTACTCCTGTGTCCGCGTTACTCCTGTGTCCGCGTTACTCCTGTGTCCGCGTTACTCCTGTGTCCGCGTTACTCCTGTGTCCGCGTTACTCCTGTGTCTACGTTACTCCTGTGTCCGCGTTACTCCTGTGTCCGCGTTACTCCTGTGTCCGCGTTACTCCTGTGTCCGCGTTACTCCTGTGTCCGCGTTACTCCTGTGTCCGCGTTACTCCTGTGTCTACGTTACTCCTGTGTCCGCGTTACTCCTGTGTCCGCGTTACTCCTGTGTCCGCGTTACTCCTGTGTCCGCGTCACTCCTGTGTCCGCGTCACTCCTGTGTCCGCGTCACTCCTGTGTCCGCGTTACTCCTGTGTCCGCGTCACTCCTGTGTCCGCGTCACTCCTGTGTCCGCGTCACTCCTGTGTCCGCGTCACTCCTGTGTCCGCGTTACTCCTGTGTCCGCGTTACTCCTGTGTCCGCGTTACTCCTGTGTCCGCGTTACTCCTGTGTCCGCGTTACTCCTGTGTCCGCGTTACTCCTGTGTCCGCGTCACTCCTGTGTCCGCGTCACTCCTGTGTCCGCGTCACTCCTGTGTCCGCGTCACTCCTGTGTCCGCGTCACTCCTGTGTCCGCGTCACTCCTGTGTCCGCGTCACTCCTGTGTCCGCGTCACTCCTGTGTCCGCGTCACTCCTGTGTCCGCGTTACTCCTGTGTCCGCGTTACTCCTGTGTCTGCGTTACTCCTGTGTCCGCGTTACTCCTGTGTCCGCGTTACTCCTGTGTCCGCGTCACTCCTGTGTCCGCGTCACTCCTGTGTCCGCGTCACTCCTGTGTCCGCGTCACTCCTGTGTCCGCGTCACTCCTGTGTCCGCGTCACTCCTGTGTCCGCGTCACTCCTGTGTCCGCGTCACTCCTGTGTCCGCGTCACTCCTGTGTCCGCGTCACTCCTGTGTCCGCGTCACTCCTGTGTCCGCGTTACTCCTGTGTCCGCGTTACTCCTGTGTCCGCGTTACTCCTGTGTCCGCGTTACTCCTGTGTCCGCGTTACTCCTGTGTCCGCGTTACTCCTGTGTCCGCGTTACTCCTGTGTCCGCGTTACTCCTGTGTCTGCGTTACTCCTGTGTCCGCGTTACTCCTGTGTCCGCGTTACTCCTGTGTCCGCGTTACTCCTGTGTCCGCGTTACTCCTGTGTCCGCGTTACTCCTGTGTCCGCGTTACTCCTGTGTCCGCGTCACTCCTGTGTCCGCGTTACTCCTGTGTCCGCGTTACTCCTGTGTCCGCGTCACTCCTGTGTCCACGTCACTCCTGTGTCCGCGTTACTCCTGTGTCCGCGTTACTCCTGTGTCCGCGTTACTCCTGTGTCCGCGTCACTCCTGTGTCCGCGTCACTCCTGTGTCCGCGTTACTCCTGTGTCCGCGTTACTCCTGTGTCTACGTTACTCCTGTGTCCGCGTCACTCCTGTGTCTACGTTACTCCTGTGTCTACGTTACTCCTGCATACACTTCAGGAAGTCAGGCGTAAAAGTGGACACGGCAGACTCCATTCCAGGCTGAGCCGCGCCGGACTGTGCCGGAGGAGGCGGAGACATGACATAACAACACACTGTAAAAACTGATCATAGATGAAGGAAAAAAAATGCTTGAATCGAGTGGTTTTTATTTTAGTTTGAGTCGTGAGACAAAGATATTTAGTCTTTTAACAAGAACTGTTGCAATATACCCGAGAACTTTAACTTAATTGCACCGAGAGACACAGCAA